TGATCTCTTTAGCCTTGGTTGTCAACCAGTCTAGGAATAGAGCAAATCTGAGACGGGCTGGTTTGACTCTTTGTGGCTCGCTGTGTGTCAGTTCTTTATTTTAACCATCGGAATAATTCTGTTATATGCAAATGTGTAAAAGGGGGGGCTTTAAATCTCACAGCCTCACGAACACCCACTTTGTAAAATCTGTATTTCCTTACTCAAAGAGCGAAATACTGAATTTATATATATATATATATATATATATATATATATATATATATATATATAATATGGTGGTACTCACTTGGAAAAATCTCAGTTAGCTCGACTTGCAGTAGAACAAATCTGTACCCGAGGAAGAATAGTGAATAAAAAAAAAAGAAAGAACCAAGAACATTAAACCAAGGCGAAAAGAATCGTCTAGTGTTCAAGCTTCATGTCCAAAGAAAAAAAAAACCAAAATGAGTAATGTGCTCAATACACGAAGTAGAGCAAAACGTAAGATAATCCTAAGGAGCCAGGCAAACCTACCTAGGTTTCACCTAAACGGATCTTCAGGGAGATGCCGACTGAAAAGGAAAATTATGGAACAGAATTTATAGCTAAAACCAAAAATAACCATGATCACGTGATTAAAAGAATTAAATAAATCCAAACAACCGTCGGGGGAGTACTAATTTCAGATTTTAGGTTCAATAAATTTTTAGATTCTTTATAGCTAGCAATAGCCAACTTTTCCTCCGTGCATAGGGAACAGAACTTATCATTTACCTTATATTTATAACATTTTTTTTAATATTTCCCATTTCAAAATGGGGTCCTTATTATCTTCCATACATAAGTAGTACAGGGTAGTTCTATGTTCATAGGTTTCACTATTGAAACTACTGAGGTGGTTGTAATATCATTTTTTGAAACTATTCTCGGTGGATCCTATATAAACTTCAGGGTTCTTATCAATATTGTTCGGTTTATCTGTATATTTTTACTTGATAGACAACGCACTCTTGTTGGCACTTGCCCTGTAGAGGGCAGGCTTCCTTATTCCTACAGTTACACTTAGAGGGTGGCTGTGCGTGGTTTGTCTTTAATTTTTTTCCCTATTATACTTCTTAATTATATTGATCATATTAGATATACAGATATAACTTAGTTTGACGTTGTTTTTGTCGAAAATTTTATGTAACATATTTGTCTGTGGGAAGTTATTTTTTGGGCTCCTTAGTATATATATATATATATATATATATATATATATATATATATATATATATATAATTTAATAAAAGGCTTAAATGCTAATATTCCATGGTCATAATTTATTCATTGGAATCGTAAATACGATCAATTCATCAGACCTACAATCTTTTTTGAATTTGTAGGTCTGATGAATTGATCGTATTTACGATTCCAATGGAATAAATTATGACCATGGAATATTAGTATTTAAGCCTTTTATTATATCCTTACTCTGTCCTGGACATTGAGTTCTACCTGGATTCTATCCTCTTGGAATAATTTTTTTTCTTTTAATACATATATATATATATATATATATATATATATATATATGAGAGAGTGGGGGTGTCTCGAAAACTGTATACCCATATTTAATATTCTTCAAGAAATAATTCAAGTAACTGGAACCCACTATATTGTTACCAGTTAACCTCCTATGATGAATGGACTGATCCATTCATGATAAGTAGTCCTGGGTAATTGTCAAAGGAAGAAGGAACGCTGGGAAGATGGGGTAGTCGAGAAACATATCGGAAAATTATTGTACAGGGTGATCCGAAAGTCTTGCCAGTTCCTAGCAAAAAGTAATGAGAATAGAACTACAAGTAATACAAAGCACATCATTCGGTTTATTCACTTTCATTGAGGCTGTCACACATCGAGAAGGTCTGTATGAAGACCACCATTTTTCGGGACACAAAATGATGCAGCGTCATGTTATGTGTGATATTTTACAAGGCTGTGTTTTGTTGATTGTTGCAAAGCCTCTCCGAACGGCGTCCTTCAACTGATGTGTGTTCTGTTATCGTCCATACAGTCGCAAGCAGCCTCCGTTTCAAACTGTAGGGTCTCGTGTCAGCCATCTATAAGAAGAAAGTCTATCATGTGGTGGTGACAAGACTTTCGGACCGGCCTGTACTCTGAATTTTTCAGACCACACTGTATCTATCTATTGAGTGGTCCGAAAGTCTTGTCACCCTCTACCAAAAATTAACGAGAAGAATCGAAGAAGAAATAATACAGTAATACAAAGCACATGTACTGGACTCTGTTTATTCACTTACATTGACGCTGTCATACATCGAGAAGGTCTATATGAACGCCATTTTCGTGTCAGCCATCTGAAATAGAAAATTATATCATGTAGGAGTGACAAGACTTTTTGGAGCACTCTGTGTCAAGTAAACTACCGTGTGGTCCGAAAGTCTTGTCACCCTCTATAAAAAATATATGAGAACAATAGAACAAGAAGTGGATTCAGTTTATTCACTTTCATTGACGCTGTCACGCGTCGAGAAGGTCTGTATAAAGACCGCCATTTTCGTGCCAGCTATCTGAAATCGAAAGAATTTCGGACCACGCTAAAAATCAACTCGGACCAACAGAGCATTCGATAGGAGCCGATTCTGGTCCTGTAGAACATTTTCGATGTTCCAGATAGCTCTGGATAAAAAAAAAAAACACGTCCCAGTGAAAGAAAGTGACAACCAACAGAAGTGTTGGATGTCAACCCAAGAAAAGGAAGTATAACTTCCTACGGAAGTAAGCCTCGATGTGGTAAGAGCCAGTTGACCTCCTTACTTATCATAATAAGTAGCCCAGGTTAGTTGTCAACGTGATGATGATAATACTATTGCAGCGACCTATCTAGCTGAGTATTACATACTAGTAACACGACTCATTCTGTCGACTTAAGTGTTGTGTCTTGCCAGACCCCACATCTCAACATATGAATTATTTAAATTAGATATAAGATTTTGTGGACGGAAACAGTTATGCTTCAAATTATTCACGGGGATTATTGAGTGGATATAATTGTGGATCCGAATGCAGCTGTTTGTAGCTATTGTGTTGTTTAACTTTTTACTCATTATTTATTATTGATTACGTAATTATTTGTCAATGATTATTACATTTACCTGTGTTTATGTTTACATTCACAGTTTATTAATTTGTTTATTTTTTTTAAACCTTTTGAGGAGTTGGTCATCTTATTTATTTTCTGCATTCTGTTGAAGTTTCTTTCAGACTCGATTAATTGCTTAATTATATATATAGATGTTGTGATATAATTCTTTTGTATTCATTTAATACCTTCTACTTATCTGTGTGATTACGCGTTGGTTCACGTCACGTGATCTTCTGTTTATAAATAACGGTGGGAGGCCTCTTTCTTCCTCTCTGGCGTCCGTTTGTCCATATCCTCTAATTATGTAGTGATTTTCTAAGCCCGGCTTAGATGTGGTACAAGGCCAAAAGTAAGGGGGCACCCAGTGAGGATAGAACTCACTACTCAGTCGTAATTGATCTAGCGAGACAAGCATTCTGACCATTGCACCACGCCGAGGTGCCCTAGGGATTTTCCAAGTGTAGCTTGGTTGTGGCACAAGGCCAAAGTAAGGGGCACCCAGTGAGGATCGAAGTCACTACTCAGTCGTAATTGATCTAGCGAGACAAGCATTCTAACCATTGCACCACGCCGAGGTGCCCTAGGGATTTTCCAAGTGTAGCTTGGTTGTGGCACAAGGCCAAAGTAAGGGGCACCCAGTGAGGATCGAACTCACTACTCAGTCGTAATTGTTCTAGCGAGACAAGCTAGCTAACCATTACACCACCTCGCGGTGACCAATCTTCTATGCAACTGGTAACTATGTATGCTTTTTTTTATGTTGAATAAAACCATAATATTCAACTTTCTAAAAAGGTCTCTTTTCATTACAATATATATATATATATATAATATATATATATATATATATATGTGATTATGATTTGTTCCCAATGTATTTCATTAGCTGTCATTTGTACTTCACCCTCCCTGTTCATTGTGCTGACACTTTGCGACCCATCTCTTGTGGATCATTTTTTTTTTTTTAACATTGTCTGGATAAATTTAAACCATTTTGTTATCCCGGTCTGACGAGGCAGGTATTAAAAAACATACCTGTCGAAATAGATTTATTATCGGATCTTTTGTGATGTGTTAAGTTATTTCCTTCTTTCTGTATATCATATTGCTCTGTATACAATACACTAAACTCTCTTCATTGATCTATCTTTTTAATATTTTATATAAAAAAAAAACAACACCTACTTGGATTATCCTTTACACTTACGGATTATATATATATATATATATATATATATATTATAATAAAGCTCTACTTCTGTATGGAGCACTGTCTTCTTAAAAATAAAAACAAAAATACTAAGGAACTCCGGATTATGCACCCAACGTGTTCTTTTCTATTTTCTGCATACCTGCGCACTTTTATATATATATATATATATATATATATATATATATATATAATTTGTTTAAACGTTATTTAAATCTTCGAAAAATCTTGATAGAAAACCTGCGTCCCCTAGTGAAAACCCTCATAAGATTTGATATGCCTTAGATCAACTAGGGCACATTTTTTAATATTCAGGCCGCTAGATGAAAATAAATAAATAAAAACATGACATCTACTCAAATATGAGTATCCATTTAAAAAAATATAAATATAAAATAACGTTAGGCATATGAATTACAAATCTGTCGAATTTAACCAATACCCCCCTCTCTCATATATATATATATATATATATATATATTTTAGTGATACAAGTCCTACTAATTAACATACGGGATAGAAGAGATGAATTCGCAACTTTTTTTCCTAAGGGTATTTGCACATAATTGAATATAAAGGACCGAACCGGAATTAGAACTCTGCTCTCCGATTAACATTTCCGAGTCATTGTCCATTACACCACCCGCACATCCAAACTTACGGCAACTGATATTCCCAACCGGACACTCATACAGATAATGACCAGGCTTGACGTTGCTTAGCTTCGGTGATCTAACGGGAACCGAGGTTTTAACGTGATATGGCCGTAAGCTTTGCCTTAAGCAGTAGGGGATTACTATGTCCACACTCTGGAAAGGCTTGAACTTGCATCTCCTTGATAGGAGAAAACACTGTCTAATTCGGAGTTCTTTAGACCGCTCGGCAACTGAGAACGCTACAGCCCAGCAAGATTTCATTACCTTTTCTTTCCATTTTTTTTAAAGACAAAATGCACGTTACAGATATTCCCCGAAAACAATATCTGCTTATTTTTTTTGTATCCAAAATGTAATTTGTAACGAATGAATGGATTCTTTATCACGATAATTTGTACTAATTTTTTTTGTTTATATAAATATAATATAAAAGTTTAATTTTAACGTCAGATATATTTACCAAGCCACTATAAAATCAGCAGATGACAAAGAAAAAGAATATACGTAGGGGTAACAGACGGGCCCTGGAAACAGAGAAACCACTTACGCAAACACATCCATTACAAATACTAAATACGCAAACGGCACAATACTTTCTAAACATATATGAGAAATTAATGCTAAATCACAGCAAAAACATCATAGAAAATAAGGAAAGAAGAACCAGTCTACAAAAATAAATCCAAACACTGTAAACTGCGGAAAAATTAGCTATAATCATCTCCTTAGATCAACTCAAATTACTAAATAAGCGATCGGAACCCGGATCACTGGAGGAGCGATCGGAACCCGGCCCACTGTGTGAGCGATCGGAACATGGACCACTAAATAAGCGATCAGAATTCCTATCAAAATGCTGAAACGAAAATAAATTTCTTCACACCTTTGTGTTGACAAAGCCAATAAGTCTTGTTTGCCGAAATAGCTATTCGAATGAGGAAATTTTGGATTTCCATTCTATGTTATATATATATATATATATATATATATATATATATATATATATTGAGTAAACGTTATTTTTTAATGGATACCCATATTTGAGATGATGCTCTGTTTTCATTTATTTAAATCTACCGGCTTGAATATTCGAGAAACTTTATTAGAAAAATATGCACTGTCCGGCTGTCCATTAAAATAACGTCTAAACAAATTAAAATATGTCGGATTAAAAAATAAAAAAATCCACTCCTATACATTAACAATGCTAATCTGGCTTGCCGTTACTCTTGAGTAACTCATGCAAAATTTGACATGCACCCTGGCTTAACATGTAAGAACCATCTAATTTAATCTTGATATCCCGGTCTGTTCATATCTCTCTGCCATATTGTTACGTTATAACGTTTTTGTTTGGTATCTTCTCCTTCCGTAGGTCAGTGTAGAAAGGTTTTAATGTCTAACTAACTTTATAATGTGTGTGCTCGTAAGTATGTCTGCTACTGAATTCAGATCTGTTAAACCCTGACGAAGTGTCTGCGAAACTTGAAGTCGGCAACTATATTTGCTCCATTTTTTTCTTATATTGAGCACTTTCTTTGCACCTTTGAAACGCGTTAAACTTTAGCTATGTACATGTTTTGTTAGTCCTAATAAATTTGTATTATTATTTTATTTTCTTTGATTTCTGGTGTATATGTATTACTTTTCGGGTCCCAACCAGTGACCTAAGGTAAAAAAAAAAAATGACCTCATTCCACTGAACAGTTTTGAAAAAAAAATGACACCTATTTTACATAGATAAAGCCCTTCATAAGGTGTGGTATATATTTGCGAGAACAATTTTTTGTATTTCTTTAAGGTATTGGCTACCAGGAATCCTTCAATGAGCTTATTGGAATCTTTTCCAATCAATCCGAGGGCTCCAACAATAACTGGAATTGTTGTCCTAATATGCCACATTTTTGAGATTTTCGATTTCAAGGTCCTTGTATTTTGATATTGTTTTTGAAGATATTCAAAGATACATTGCAGTCTACAGAGACCGCCATTTCAATAAGAAGGCACTTTTTTGTTTGTGATCCCAAATGACGATGACAGGGAGATTAGTTTTGATTGTTCTCTCTGTGTATTGTAAAGTGCCATAAAATTGTTACCGGTCCTATCTCCGTCACGGTGTCTGTTCATACCAATTTCTTGCAGTTTCGTTTCTGGGGGAAATTGCAGATTTTACAAAGCAGATATTGGCCCACTCTGTCATGCCGGGTTTTATATTCAGTGGGTGCCAATACTGTGCAACATGACACAAAATGGCTAATTGTTTCTAGATATTTATCACAGAATCTGCATTTTGGGCTAACACGATAATTTTGTATGTGTGCTTGATAATTTTTAGTTAACAAGCATTGGTCCTGTGCAGCAAGGATAAAACCTTCTGTTTCAGCTTTTAACCGCGCGCTACGTAGCCACTGATGGGGGCGGAGTTTGTCTGCATCAGCTTTTTTGCTACGGGCAGAGTATTAACTGTTTATCTTGCCATCGTTTCTGTATCTGGTCGGTTAGATTTGCTTTTACTTTTTTTTTTTTTTTTTTTTAAGTATTTTTCAGCTGCAGTCGGTGGATTATGCTTTACTTACAATTCTCCCATTTGAGACTCCATTTTGAATTTGTTGGCTTCTTATTATTTCCGTATAGATATGAACAGACTTATATTCATAGTCAAATATATATAATAAGATACAGTTAAATAGAAATCTATCTCAACTGAAGGTGGCTGGAATACTTACAAATAGATTTAAATCAAAGTATCGCCTGGGAGATCGATTGAATAGGTGTGGATTTCAATGTTCGGCGTCAAGTAATTTCTAATTCAATAACACGACTTTGATCCGTCATCAATCGATTGTTCACTGCGTATCATCCAATATCTTATGATTTTCCTTTGGCGTATTTGCCTCTTGAAATTGCTCTCCATAAACAATTTCCATATTTTGTGTCCTTTTGGTTTTTTTTTTTTTAATATGGATTACCATTTGACGAAAATCTGCTATTCAATCTCCTTCGGTTTTGATAGAAAAGGTTGGACACTTGAAAAATGAATTAAAATTAAAAATGGCAATACGGGTAATATTTAAGCTTCGTGTCTGCAACAAAACGGCATCTCAAAAGAATTTTTTTTTTTCCCATGAGGCCGCAAGTATTTTTAACTACCTTCACTCCTCGGCAATTTAAAAAGCAATGATTAGAATTGGAATAAAACGTAAAGACATGAAAGTGAATTTATACATGTTTTTTGTTCTTGAGAATTTCCAACAACATATTAAACACTATTAGATTGTTTATTTATAAGAATAATTTTATATTTACAACAATCCAAAATCTAATACAATTAAAGCTAATACAACGTCGTATTTGTTTATCAATTTATAAAGAAATAAATATCAATTTTTATTCATAAGTTAATAAACATTTACGAAATTATAAATATATATACCTACATATAAATTCATGAATCATTCATACAAAAAACAAATATAAAGGTTAATGATTTAAATGGCGAGAATACTTCGTCGCAAACAATATAAATAAGATACATCAACCCCGAACCTGTATGTGAATGATATGATCCCCGTTTATAAATTCCCGTTGCATAAGGTCTTTTTAATTTTTTACAAGCTTTCGTCTGTTCCTACAGACATCATCAGGTATGGAAGTAGATTTTGTTCTTGTTTTTACTTCTCAGTAATAAGAGGACAACGAAAATAGAGATGTAATCCGAAAAAATGCTATGAGAAATGTGTTGTTGTTTTGGAATGTGCAGTCGCAACGCTGAGTTTGAATTTAAATTTTAAGGTTCTGCGTTTTTGTACAAATATAGCAATACGAGAATTCTTTTTTACTGGTAAATTTTCCGTGAATTATATATATTTGTTTTAGTATGAATGATTCATGAATTTATAAAGTATATTTGCACCTTTTTAATTGAAATTAAAATAACTGATCCAACGTGCAACTCTCGGATAATAAGTGTGACATTACTGTAATTATTGAACAATATAGTTCATGCCACATTCAGGTTCGATTCCTGTCGGAGGACGCATATTTTCTATGAAAATTTCTCGGACATTCAGGCCGGTAAATGTCGTTAATACTGTTTATTATAAACAAAGCATTAGTATCTATAAAAAGAACGTATAAACATAAAAAAAAGCCTTAAAATAATTGTCGGTCTTTGTCCATTTCATAATGTGTGACGTCATTTGTTTACATTTGGATACGCATCGAGCAGATATGAATGTACGAGAGAAAATCATGAAGAATTGTAGTTTAAAAACAGTAAAATCGACCTTGCTAACCGAAACGCTCCTCTGTGGCGAAATCGGTTAAAGGCACGTCAGGCTATATGACGGTTCCGTATAGGATACAGGTTCGATTCCTGACACATTGTATTATTTCTTTTGAGAAAGTAATATAACGAAACTGTTGACAATCATTTGAATGGACGCAAAGCGCCCAATAAATTAGAAAACTTTTGATCCATATGATGAAATGGACAAAGTCCAACAATTATTTTAAGACATTTTTTTATGTTTACACGTTCTTTTTCCAGATACAAATATTTAAGTAAATGCTCTGTTTATGATAAACAGTAATAACGACATTTATCGGCCTGAATGTCCGAGGAATTTTCATAGAAAATATTCGTCCTCCGACAGGAATCGAACCTGTATCCTATACGGAACCGTCATATAGCCTGACGTGCTATACAATCTTCTCGAACGATCATATCTGCTCGAAATGTATCCTGTTCGAAGTGTATCTTAACGTAAACAAATGGGAAATTTGTTGTTTAAAAACAGTACTTTCATATTCCTAACCAGACGCTCCTCTGTAGCTAAATGGTATAGCACGAAGAAGACGCTCACCAAGCGTAATACGGAATAAACGATTTTACTAGTATATTAAAAACAACACAAAAACACATCTTAAACAGTAAAGCATGAAAATATACATTAATCATTTCACCCCAAGCCAGGCAATAATACTGCTCAGATACAAGGGGGTTAGTGCGAGTGAAAAAGAAAAGAGAATGCAAAATATTTAGTTAGAAGAACGGACAATATAAAAAAAAAAAAACATTCCAGAAGGTACAAGATGGCGACTGACGTTGCACT